GAAGCGACCGAAAACAACTTACTTTGTTGCGCGTCGACTCCTCCAAGAATGTATAGAATGGAAATGAAGATTAGAATCATGTTCCGATGATAACCAGACCAAAACTCCCCGGCTTATATTGACTTCCATTTTTGGTTCCGCCTATTTCCTTGTTGTCAAAATTTGCATAGAGATTTACAATTCTAATCAGTGTTGGCTTGGCTATAGTTTAGCGGGTGATTCTGCAAAATTTATGAGCGATGAAACAAAAGATCCGCAACGAATTGTTTTCAGCGGAAGTTGGGTGCTGTTTTTAGTGCTTCTTGCGAGGAGGAGGAGGTGGAAGGTTGGAAATATATGGGGTATATTCTTTTTTAATAGACGTGTATAGAGGTATATAAACCGGAAGTTTGCGATGTTAGAGGTATCTTCTGTTGGAAGAAATGATTATTGTTCTCACTTCGCTGTTATTCCTTTTAGGAGGAACCGATGGGCAAAGTTAAACAAGGAAATAGGCGGAACCAAAAATGGAAGTCAATATAAGCCGGGGAGTTTTGGTCTGGTTATCATCGGAACATGATTCTAATCTTCATTTCCATTCTATACATTCTTGGAGGAGTCGACGCGCAACAAAGTAAGTTGTTTTCGGTCGCTTCTCTAGGACCACTAGAAGCCGAGATACAGTAATTTAAAGTTTCGAAGGATTGAGAAGCTCAATGCTCTCTCATTAAAAAATAGCAACAAAAATGAGAGAATTCGGTGCCAAAATCACTGTTCTAGTACCACTGGGAGCCGAGATACACCTATTTGAAGTTTCTGGGGCTAGAGACGCAGACGACGAGGCACTCTAGCTGTCTGCGTCTCTCTAAAACTTTGAACGACTGTATCTCCCCTTCTAGACGTGCTAGAACGTTGGTTTCTGGACTGAAATGAAGTCTGGAAGCCAGAAGTTTTGAAATTCTAAGCCATTAAGTCACTTCGTACCACAAGTCGGAACTTTCCTAATTTTTCAAACATTAGCTTTTGATTAATTGAAAAGAGCAACGAAAATTGAAGATTTAGGTACTAAAATCTCTTTACTAGGACCACTGGGAGCCGAGATACACGCATTTGAAGTTGCGGGGGTTAGAGACGCAGGCGACAAGACACTCTAACTGTCTGCGTCTCTTCAAAACTTTGAATGGCTGTATCTCGGCATCTAGAAGTGCTAGAACGATGGTTTTCGAGCCAAAATGAAGCACAAATATCGGGCTTCAAGCCTAGAATTGTAATTTTTGATTTTCAGATTGTGCGCGGTGCGTCGATTATAAGAACTTATCCTTACCATCTGGTTCGAGCTCTCCTGAAGTGGAACTCGTGGTTAAGTAAGTCTGGCTTGAGCTTCCTACCACCGAGCTATGTTTCAGTATTTTTTTCCTTGACAATGGTTGCAAAATAACAAACTTCAAGTGCGTGGTCGTGAAGACAGAATGCACTGCTGCAGCTTACATGACTTCGAGAAGCACTGGTCAAGAATTAGCCACCTATGAGACAAGCCAAACTGAAAGTTCCAGTGGAAATGTCACGTGTGTGGGTTTCTGCTTCTGCTACCGACTTCTGCTACTTGGCAATTCAATGGAGAGTACGTTTAACAACGTTACCTTCTTAATTAATATTAATTTTCAGAGCACCATTATTTAGGTGCAGAACCTTCTGCCCTACTGATGGTGGTGGTGAGGACCCTGTAGATCTTACGTTCCCGCCGTTGGAGACCACCACTACTGAAAAACCGAGTGTCGGCGTGTGCAAAGTTGAATAATTTGACATATAACTTCTCAAATAAATTTTCAAGCATTGCAATGCCTTTTTATATTTCTTATGAGGTATCTGAATCTAGAAATACTGTCCAAAGGGTTATTTTAATTAGAAATTGGCTTAAAATAAGTTAAATTCCAATTTTCCGGAACCAGGAAACGATTAGAAGATTCCAAGATGAATTCTTATATAACCTATACACTTGAAACGCTTAGAAAGAATTTTAGATTACCGTAAAACCTCTAATAGAACAATTGCGAACGATGGTACGATTCCAGGTGAGTCTTAAAGGTTTCGATGAATCGGGAAGTACACTTTCAGGCTGCAAAAGCTGTAATAAAGATGATTTTGACAATATCGACAGCAGTGACTACAATTTGACATGGACGTGAGTTGACTAGTAAGAAACCGTAATTTTGAATAAAACAGTCATTTTCGCTCAGATATGGTGAAGATGATGGGTGTATGACAGCACATCAAACCTGCTATTCTCTGAGTTCCAGATGTGAGGTTGCGGCTTGGGTTACTCTAGAAGATGAAACAAGAATTGAATACTCAAAAGCTAATATAAGCACTGGTTTGTACATATGTGATTCATCATATTATGCGCTGA